AGTTCACAAAACCCCCACAACAACCCTTGGTATTTCATAATCTTCTCTTTGAATATGGTGGTGTTGTGGTGTTGTTATGCCCAATCTGTAGCTGTCCTGGATAAAATCTTCACTTATGCCCTTTTGGATCATGAAACAAGGCCTGCAGATTGTGTAATGTTTATGTTATAGGAATATATGATATTGCAGGGGATGTTCTAATTCTTCTACAGTGTACTTGGCATATGTGATTTGTAACAAATAGTTGAACCAAGCTTTGTTTGCGTAGTCCAGCTGTAGAGAAGGTAATTTATTATGCAGAGATTTTTTGCATTGCTGTGGGATTTTTTCAACAGATCAAATGAGAACAAGCAGAACTTCTTTGCACGTGCCTCCTATTCTCATTTCTGACCTCATTTCATGAGACCAGGGATCTTCTCATCAAACTGTTCTTACTTCCTAATCTTTCTGTGTTGAACAAGGCCAATCATTTTCCCCCAGTTCTTCATGGATAACTTCTCCAGCAAATTCTTCCTAAGGGATTATTAAATATCTGGAGTGTGAAATTGTGTGGAGACTTTTGAAACAGAAGTGGAAACAGAACATACATTAAAGTCACATGGTATGTGTTTAAACTGTTAGAAGTCTATAACAAGGGACAAAATAAACTTTAGACTAAGACAAGAACTTTATGACTGATAATACCAAACAATTAGGCAACAAAATGTGGAATATTCCTTTAGAAAACATCAGTCATGTTAACTACACACAAATTTATTGCTGGTGCTTTTTTCTATATGATCACAGCATCGAAAAAAATCCTTGGAGCAGAAACTTTTTTTGTATCATGCCTTTTTTTCAGCGTCTAGGTTTTTTTAAAGTTTTTTTTTTTTCTTGACGCTTTGGACTTTTTTTCACTTTAAGTCTTAATCCTGTCTCTTACCCCTGTTTCTTGTGCCTGGTTTTAGGAGAATTTTCCTTGTCTCTGCACACATCAGTGCCATTTCCTGTTGTGATAGCAAATAATAGATATCTACTCTGAGTACAACTTTATAAGCAGCTGTAGCTGCTTTTGAGCACATATCTTAGGGTGATAACATAAATCTTTACTTGCTGGTAAGAAAGTAATGTAGGACTTTGCCTTGGTCAAAATACATAGCATCTACTGTTTATTTGTCATCTAGTAGGGGTTTTACACTGTTTTTGAAAAATCCAAGTATTAGTAACCTTAAGCTTTTAAAGATTAAAAATAGATAGTGTATTAGAATTATTCAATCCAGAAAGTAGATCTAGAAAGATTATAAAACAGAAAATTTCACCTTTCCCCCTTTTCTGGAAGAGGTAGTTCTTCCCCTTGCTGTAGTCTTCCGAAGCTCCTCTGCCTTATGTGATTTTAGGGTTTTTTTATTTGTTTGTTTTGGTTTGGTTTTTTTTTAAAAAAAAAAAAAACCTGTCCATGTTTCAAAGGTTACTCAAAAGAATATTTTTCCATTTGTAACTTGCCCTTCAGGTAACCTGATTCCCTTTAAACATTATGCAGATAATTGAATACTTTTGATAACTCTCACCAGTTAGATAGTAGTTGCTATGGGGTTGGAGACAGAGAAGAAAAGAATCAGAACAAGAATTTCCTCATAATATTTACACGTGCATATAAATTACAGTACTGAGGAACCAGGAGTCATTCTTCAGTTTGGTCAGGCTTTTTTTGCTTTTTCACAAATAAACACAGTTTACCCACATGATAGCACAATAAATCCTTAAGTATTCTGTGCTGCATTTCATCAGCCTTCCAAACTGCACTTTCTGACCTCATAAAAATATTTCCCTTCCAGTTTTTTTTTTTTTTTGCCCTGTGCTTTGCCCTGTAGTTTTATCTTCATGTCAAAATTAATTTTGGGCATGTTCGCAGAGCTGATTGCAGGCAGACTTGAACTTTGATCCCTCTGGGAGCCAGCTGGCTGGAGGCCAGCTCCAGCCATGTTGCAGTGCCTGAGCTGATGAGCTGTGCTTCTCAGCAAGCACATTAAATGTGCCCGAGCACCAGGACGGTAGGGTCGTGACCTGCAGTTCAGAGGCAGCTTGTGCATGCCCAGTCCAGAGCATCGGCAAGGAGAGCTCATGCCTGTGCGTCATTCCCCGGGCACAAAGACCTTTATCTCCCTCTTTCTGGAGATTCAAACAAGGCAGGCATTTAATAATTGTTAGTAGCTGTTGTTTGAACCCCTTTCTCATATTGTAATGTTTGCCTTTTAGTGGGGCTTCTTTTTGGCTTACCTTATCACACATTGTTGAAACCTTTTAATATGGCTTATCATGTGCTCTCCAAATTAAAACTCGTGGTCTGTTTTAACTTTTCTGCTTTTATCTCCCTGGCACAGGGAGGCTTAGACTCATTCTTAGTAGCATTATTTAGGCTTTTTCCATGATCTCTTCTCCATGTTTAGTTCATTGGAAATTGCCAGTGTGGTTACACTAGCCTGTCACTGTACTTTCTCTCCTGAGATACTCAGACATTTCATACAGAGTCTCTTTCAAACACTGCCATCTCCCATGCATCTCTGTCCCTTGGTTACTTTCCCAGGAGATCTCCTCTGCTGGCCCTCATGTTGCTGTGCTTGTCTTTGCAGAATACCAGGCTCATTCTACAGTCACTTTCACTCCAACTACTACACACCCACAAAGTGTTGGTCAGGTATTCTCTAATAGGAAAAAATCTATTTTGTCTGTTCCCTCATAAGTTTTGTTCACCTTTGGAAAGGAAAAACCATCCTTAGTGCATTTTTACATTTCTCAGCATTAGTCTGAATGGAGTCTTTCTGCTAGAAGCAGATTCTGACATTAGGATGCACCTTTTTATCCTTCAGAAAAGCCTTGGCCACCTCTGCCTCCTAGAGAGCTAAAGCGACAATATTTCACAACACTGAAGATCGTGTTCCTTTTCCCATGTTTTGTTTAATGCTTGCACTGCCTTCACCACCGAAGTGCAAGTTCCAATAGAAGCTAAATGTGTTATTTCAACTAAATACTGAAAATACGCTGGCTGGGTGTAGCTTTTCACTTCATGAGGAAACAACAGTCTTCCTCTAACATCATCAATATGTAGTCGTGAATATATAGTGTTTCCTCGTAGCCTGATGGGAAATGAATGCTGAAAGCAATTTTGTGATTTTCTCTAAATCAGAGGATGGAATTTAATTTTTAATCTCAGCTGGGAGGGAGTATATGTAATTTGTCAAAAGAAATCGTAAGTATGCATGAGGAGCTTTAATATGGATTTTGCAGCAAGTATATCCACAAATGCAAGAGTTTCAGCTGAGGCACTACCTGAGCAGTTACAGTTTCTATGTATTTAGTAACCCTCCCTTCCTACTTTTCTTGAGAAGCTCATCTTGAACCTGTAAACAGAGGTTACAGTTACTGTTAGCTGAAAAATTATGTAGCTGTTCCTTTCTTCCTGGGCCTCTCCCAAGGCACACTTCATGCCACTAAGGAAGGACTGTTTTCGCTTCCTGAGTTTGTAAACTGTATATTTCAATGATGGTGACCTTTTGCTTTATATGGCTCACAGTGTTAAATTACTTTTATAGCTTCTTGCTTCAAAAGTCACTGAGTACGGCAATTCATTCTTGAGGGGTTCCTCCCTTTTTCTATTTGAGCTTATGTGTGCTTCTACTGGCCACTTTGATTTCAGTGGTACAGTGAGGGAATCATTTATCAGAGAATTACTTGTTCTTGCTCCTTACAAAGTATCAAACAATTTACAAGAAACACATCTCAGCCTTTGAAATCAGCTTGTGACAGTCCCTTCTTTACCCTTCAGCTTATTGCTGTTGCTTGCTAAATAACGCGTTCTAAATTGCTTCTATTAAATTTGATGGGTCAATGTTACAATACAGAGAGATTTTTCACAATATATATTTAATTTGACTGTTGTTGTGAATGCGCCACCCTTCAGCCCTGCTGGTTTCCAGATTAGCATTAAAACAATTTTGAGGGAAGTGAGCAGCAGAGGTTTCCATTTTTGTGGCTGGGAGCTCTTTGAGAAAAAACTATGAGAAACAGACAGTAAAGCAGAAAATTTCCATAAAGAAGCACCTGTGTTTTTAAATACCACTCAAACTAGTCCACACATTTAATGAATTTAATTCAACTACTCAAATCTTATGAAACTCTCTATATTTGTGTGTATATGTGTATACATAGATCAGTCAACCGATCAGTTACAGAATATTCTGACTTGAAAGGGACCCACAAAGGTCATTGAGTCCAACTCTTAAGTGAATGACCCATACAGTGAAGAGGTGTATTTAAAAAATGCTATAATTGTTTTCATTTTAACAAAAATTTATTATTTTAAAAATGAAGTTATTTGTTTGAAAAATGCCTATATGGTCTTATACTTTTCATTTGTTAGACGTGAATTATTTTAACAGTGCATTTAGCATAGTTTTTATAAGGATAGTGTTGAAGTAATTGCTCGCAGTTTTATTGTCTTTTCCTTAAAAAAATTCACATTTTAAATTGATAAACAAATAGAAAAAAATAGACTGTGGTAAATTTAGTGGCACTTTTAAACAAATAACTTTTAGGAAAGTATATTGATTACTAATCTATACTAATGCAAACCAAGAACTGAATGAACCTCAGAGGATCTTCTGTCTTTACACCTTCTAAAAATTATTCTTCAGGACATGTGAGAGGTGTGTTTCTAGGGAAGATGTAATCTCACTACCTAACCTTGTGGGGTTTTTCCCTCCTAACTTTGAGAATAAAAAGAATACTTTTTTCTTCTTCTTCAGTGTCATTCTGACACTAGTGTAAAAAACAAGTATACAATAGTAATTTTCTGTTTTGATGCCTACTTCAAAATTGTCAACTTAACAGTGTAATAGATCTACTGTAAATATAAATTGATTCTGAAAATCAGTACCAATCCAAGGACTGTATAATTCTTGCATTGTCTAACTTGAGTTACTTGAGTTACTTGCTTTTTTTTTTTTTTTTTTTTTTGTCTATAGACACCCTACTTTTGGCCATCAAATTGTTGGGAGCCGGAAAACACAGACTATGGTCAGTGTAGAAATCTTTCCTATTTCTTCTGGAATTTATGTGGTATATGAATGAACGTGCAGTATGTCTTATCGTCCCAATGTTTAAAACATAATTATGTGTCATGTACTTCCTGTGCTAGAACTGCTGATATTGAAGTGAATGTATTGTTACCTTTTCGAAAGTTTATCAAAAGTTTAACAAAGTCAGATTTTGGAGTTGATCTAAGGAGAAAAGTAAAAAAAAAAAGGAAAACCACAACAAAACAAAAAAACCAAAACACCCCAAACTCATCAAAATCTACCTTGCCACTTACATCTTCTGTTTGCTCCAGCAAGTATAATTATTTACAGTGACAAAAATCTCAGTGAAGCAGAGTACACTTTATTGATGATTGTGCAATGGTTATTCTCAGATTCAGACCCAAAAATAAACCTAGTTTAGAGCTCTTCTTTCAGATATACACCATGTGGAAAATTAGTATGAAAATTAATATGGTTCTAATATGAACTATATTATAAAATACCTTGTTTATTTGCCTGTGTCTTGAGGACTTATTAGTAAATTATATACTGTACTTACAACAAAATGTGAAGATAGTAAGTACAAAAATCATTAAAAGTTATAAAAAAATTAGGTGCTTCTATACATCAAATAGTGACCTAATTTTTGAAGAAAGTGAATCCTGTTCATTCTAATCCAGACTTCAATTCTAATCCAGGTCATTTATTTAGGTAACTGAGCATATACATGATAGTTTATGTTTTCAAAACCTCAAACTTTTAAAGTCTCTTTTTACAGTTTTTCAGAAATTTAAGTGAGTGTTCATTTGTAACATGGATTCTATCTCAGCCTTTGGGAGCTGAGGACCTCAGGGATGGATGGTTACAATAGAAGTTTCCTTACTCTTTGGAGCAGACACAGTTTCATTTCAAATAAATTGCTAAATAAAACAATTTCAAGCTGAGATTCTCAGCAGAGCTGAGTGCCTTCAGGCTAGAGGTTGAAAAAGTGACAGTTTTGTCATCCTATAGAAGTAGAAAAATGTTCATTTTTTAAAAAATACTGATATTTGAAGATGTCCACTAAATAGTTAGTGAAAGCTACCAAGGAGGAGTAATCCATACCACACCTGTGTACTTAGCTGCTCCATATGAGTCACTGAAGAAGAAATGCTTGATTTACTCAGTATAGTCCCCTAATATGGTAAAGATCAGCAAGTAATTTGCTACGGTTTTAGAGTCATTGAGTTGTTCAGCTGTAATGTCTATCACATTACCAGGGGGATTTTAATAAATAATTATATGCTTAACAGGTTTGAGATCAGGAGGAGAAAGTTTCTATTAATATCCTTTAGTCTAAAAGTAGGAGACACTTTCCAGTCACAACTGATCAGTGGATTGGTCAAGGAATTATTTACCTTAGTCAGTGAATAGAAATCTTGTATAATCTGTTCAGTTTTGGCATGCCTGGAATACAGAATTAAACTTGGAATCAGTTTCTTCATCATGAGGGGAGGTGCCTTTGTTGAACAGTAAATTTACTCATTTGAGAGCTTTTGAGATCAAAATATGTTCCGGTTGGTGAATTTAGGATCTTCTTTTGCAGAGGGGAGAAGGGGAAGGGAATTCCCAATGCTGCAATCTCACTGCTCAGAGTCATGGGCTAAAAGTGCAATCCTCTAAGAATCATATGGTAACTTCCCCACCCAACAGGGCCAGAGCATTGCACTAGAGCTACCTAAGGTGGCTGTGTGTCACCAAACTAGGTAATGCTAGAGCATTTGCAGGAAAGTAAACTTTTCAATAGTGTTTTTATTAGTTTAGCTTTTCACAGTCCCAGAAATTAGCATTTGCTTTGTAAACAATAGTGATCAGTGGATTACAGGACAATGAAACAGACAATACTTAAGAAATCAAAATTAAAGTAGGTTTGAAACAAATAGAGAATTATAAAGGATAAATTTCACCTCAAATACACGCCAAAGATGTTCCATAGATTTTCACAGTAATTGCTACTTCCTAGAAAATATAGTAAATAGAATTTATGTTATTACAGATACACAAACCTATTTCATCCTTGTCATGCATTGCAGTGCTGTGCAGTGCTCCCAATTTCATGGACTTGTCTGAAACTGCATCCTATAAAACTAATGAGTGTGTCAGGGATTAGAAATCTCTCAAGACCAGCAAAAAGTAGACTTTCTCTGTAATCTTCCTGTATCAATGTTTTTAACAAAGCAAACCACTTTCTTTGGCATTAACCTAATTCTACAAGCCTTTCTAAACACACTAGAATTTTATTTTAATTTAAAAAGTAATCCCAGCCATTTATCATTACTCACCCATAGCTGGGCTACTATCCAGAACATAACATACTGCCAGGAAAATAATTTATCTTAAACAAGAAATTAAATGAAATTAAGATACTGTGTGTTCGTTTGCTATCAGAGCTAACTAAGAAACAACTAATCTTTACATCTTTGTATAATATGTTAATATTTTTTCTAAAATATAATTTGTTGTGTGGGAGCTTTTCATATAAAATATTTTCCATAAAAGAAATATTTATCTGAAGAAAATATTAATAAAAAAGACATGAAAACAGAATCTTCCAATATGTCAAAAAACTGCAGATCCATTCTCTTAATAAAGCTATAGTGCAATGCTATGTCTTTGTGGCAAAAAAGGAAGACTTGGATTAATTTACTTTATGTCAAAATGGAATCAAGTAGGCTTTTCATTGTAACTTTCCCAGTATTGATTGTGATCATTCTGAGGTTACTAAGAAACTTGTAATTTTCATAAAGTGCTGAAAATCTCTCTCCTTTTGCTTGAAAATCATGCTTTAAGAGTTGTCGAGAGATGCCTCAAATTGCAAATAATTTTTGCAAAGGCAGGTTCTTAGATTCCATTTGTAGAAGATACCCACTTTATTGCCATATGTCTTGGAGTTCACCCAGGCAGGACATGTTGTTCTGTGTAGAATCCCATTGGCTTCAGTTGAAATTTATTAGTGAGAATAAGTAATAATAGTAATATTAATTATTATTAAGGGGAGTGTAGTTCAAATCACTTTGTTTTTCTTGTGAGTTAAGTTGCTGAATTACGATTTTGTTTTGTGCCAAATAGAATTGGATCTCAATTCAGAAAAACTGGCTTTTGAAATGAGCACAGCTAATGACTGAGCATGTGGCCTACCTATAATTATATTCTCTTTTCTTACAGATGTAATTTTGTAACTGACAGATTTTTTTTTTCCTGGTGTATTATAAACAGGTCATGTCATTAATAATTAATTAAATTATTAATTAATTATTCCACGTGCATTTAGCCCCAGTTCTCATGGGACCTGTCAGGTTCTCTGGAGGGTTAGTGACTCAAAGCTGTTGCAAATGTGCAGATTTTGGTCCCTTACTATTCTCTCTCTCTTTTTTTTTTTTTTTTTTTTTTTTAATTTTTTTTTTATTTTAATAAGCAAAAATATGAAAGATTAGGGAGAATCTCTATTCACAACAAAATAGCAATTATTTTGTTGGGTTTTGGTTGGTTTTTTTTGTTCCTTAGGCTCAAGTCTAAGGAAACAATTTAAGAATTGTGATAATGTAAGATGCTTATAAGAATTTCAGATAAATAAGATATGAAAAATAAGTAATTTTTATTCATTTTCTCTACTGAACTTTTGTTGATGGTTAGACTCAAAAGTATCTATGACATACAGATCTTTTCTTACAGTTAACTGCATATTAAAAAAAATAGATGTATGTTCAAAGAAGAGAAAGAATTAAATTTAGAAATTTCCATAGTCACAGTCTTAAGGAGGTTTGGACTCATACTAGAAGACAAAACTCCACTGCATCTATATATTTGCAACAGGATACTGTTTGAGTCTTGTAATTTTACTGGTGTGGAAATTCTACTGGTGGTTAAAAATGGAGGACTGCTGCAGAATCTTGGTAAGTTATGGAGAACACAGTAAATAACTGATAATGCAACATGATTTTAAAATTATATGACCATGTGATCTTTACATAATACTAAACGAGACTATTTTTCTATATATTCAAAACAAATTCTTAAATTTTGTTGCTAAAAAGAAAGACAAGTTTTTAAAATGTAACATATTTTCAATAGCCTTCCTGGTAAAGTCATGTACTATAAAGGTACTCTCCTAGAGAATTAGAACAATCACAGGGGGTCAGGATGGGGTACGTCTTATTTAATTGCTCCATTGTAAGATACCTGTCTGGATAAGTGTTGTAGTTCTTTAGATATTCATGACTTTGTTTTCCAGCCTGGGTTACAGTAAGATAAGGAAACCATTTACTTTTGCTGTGTCAGAGCTATTGTCTCATTTTTATGAAAGCACAATTCTTTCCTTATTAAAGTTACTTGATAATCAGCTAGCAAGTCAGTCTGAACAAACCTTCCTTCCTAATGATACCTTCTTATCACTTAAAAGTAATCTGTCAGAGACCTCTCTGTATTCAGCCTCTGCTGCTCTGTTGGAAATGTGAGCCATCACACTGGCTCATGTCCCTCTTCTCTCCCAAACTTGCAGTCATGCTAAAAAGTACATAGTGCATAAAAAGTAACTGCAGTCATATATCATGTTTTGCACATATTGAAAATTTTCATATAATTTTCTCTTTATTGCCTACATATTTTATATTTTATATGCCTACCCTCAAATATTTTTATGGAAATTTGATTAGTCCAGGAATTTTCCCTCTCTTTTGTCTTGTTGTACCCTATACCATGGAGTAAGTGTCTAGAAGAAGAACTGTACGGAAAATGCATTACATATTTTCTTTGCCCAAATGCTTGGGGAGGTTTTCCTCAGCAACAGCTTATTAGTAAGCAATCTTTATTTGAGAAATATGGAGTCCTGTTGCTTACCTGGACTATTCTGGAACACTGCATGTGCTCAGCATCTCTGGAAATCATAACTATGAGTCAATAGCCTGGGACAAAACTGGTAACAGAGCACTTTTTGATATGATTGTGATTTACATGAGTAAA